TACGATTACAAGATACAATATACAAGCATCATCAAACTGTTCTTGTTACCAAAATTAGATGAGATTCATACCATGTTTGTGGTTAGTATTACTTTCAATTCCAATCTTTTATTTGCTCTTATTCAGCAAATGTTGATATTATTTTCCGTTAGATTGGTCTAGATCCACCAATACGCCAAGGACAAACACGTTATCCGTTCTTGGTGATGCAGTTTGTGAAAGATGAAGAGACAGATGTGGTGCTGAATATAGATGAAGAAGTCCTAAACACACAATACGACGGAAAATTAGAACCCAAGTACGAAGCCCCGACGTACGAAGTTGTTAGCACATTATTTAAAGTGTTATCGCAGCGTAAGGTTACTGTTCCAAACAAGTACCGGAGTCATCACTCTGTATCTGCAGTGAAATGTTCTATGAAAGCAAACGAGGGCTACTTATATCCACTTGAAAAATGTTTTCTGTTTATTCCTAAACCGACGACGTTTATTCCTAATGTGGATATCGACAATGTCATATTTTCGAGAGTATCTGGTAATCTGTCGACTTCGAGAACATTTGACTTGAGGTTTAATATGAAGAGTGGGGTTGATTATCAGTTCTCGAGTATAAATAGGTAAACCGTTTATGGATTGAGCATTTCTTACGAATGCACATTGCTAATATTCTATTTTTGGCCTTGGCTTATAGAGAAGAGTACAATAATCTAGAATCTTTCATCCAAAGTAAAGGAATCAAAACATCTAATGAGATGAATGATGATGTATGCACGATATACGCTTAATGGTGTTATCATTTTCATGATTGTATAATGTTAATTAATGCTTGGTTTATCTTAAACAGGGCGCTATTTCATATGATCAACTGGATGCAGAGTTAGGAGAGGATGATGATGATAATGAAGTACTACCACCAAGACGTAACCGCGGTGGTGACTTCAAGGATGACATGGACATAGATGAGGATAGCGGTAAGATACATAATGAGAGATTGTGCATATATCGTTCATACCCAATAACATATTCAATTCCTGTTTATTCACGGCAGTCGACGAAGATTTCCAAGATGGAGATACCGATAGCGACGTAGAAGAAGAATTTGACGAAAATTATGCCGGTGGTGCAACATCTTCGGAAGATGATTGATTACTCTAAATGAAATTTGACAATATTCAATAAATACAAGAACATTATCGCATTGTAAAACGTCATCACGGATATTGAATTGATTTAGTAGTTTAGAACATTTTAAAACCGTTAAAACAAAGACATCATGTTATTTACTAATTTTATTAGACAGGGTGATTTAAAGAGAAAGATTCGGCATAGTGAAGAGTCGCACTTTTGTATCCATGAAATATATAATGGAGTGAAATCAAATTTGACAGAAAGAGTATTATTAAATGTAAAAAGTTTTTGTTAGTTTTCCTCCTCGATGGAAAATGTTGAATAGGCCGTAATTGCGAAAGTTACGTTTTCGGCGATTCAGCTTGAGCACGCTACTATTAGAACGAGACTGTAAAAATTCGACAGACGTAATTTTCCTCGCTCACAGTACGGACGTTCTGTGATCGAAATTCTTCTTGCCGACCATGTTGGGACTTTGAAGATTAACGTTTACCATCTATTTTCCTTTCTCTGCAACCATATTAACTGGAGTAATTTACCCACGTTTTCGAATATGAACCTGTTGGGTAGAAATTTAACAAGGCCAAACTCGGAATTACCTGTCTGGTTCTGTGATAAGAACTGAGACATTCCCACCCTCTAATAAAAAAAAAGCCTTTTGGTAAGAGCTGTTCTATATTTTGCTCAAGTTAATAACCGAAATAGATCCTCATAGATGTCGCGAGTTCAGAATATTTGCATGAATAGAATGTTTGGATATTGTAGACAACGCATGATATATCTTACGTTATCAAAAAGGCCAGAACAGTGTTTTTATGTCCATTTGGAGATTTGCGTTCCTTTATTAGTTGCACCTACGATTGAACGCTAAAGGTGCTCTTTATTCCATTTGGACTTGACATATGTCAGATGACTATTCCGAACTGACGTATCATGGCTCTCCACGATTATGAGAAAGAGATTTTATGATATGTTAATAATAGTCTCTTTAATTTCTTGATTTGGCTTAGGTTCTTCTTTAATAATATGGCTCGTTTGTGGTGAATTAAATAGGTAAATCGAGATTTCGGGGAAATAACTTTAATCTTTCCAGTTAG